GATCATCACATTCAGGCAAGACGTCGTTGGTGTAGGGATCGTCAACACTGGGATAATCGACGCTAGAGCAATGTGATGTTTTCAGATGAGTCAAGGTTCACTGTTGATTTTTTGGACAGACGTAGGAGGGTGTGGCGTCGTCGAAACGAGCGCTTCCAAGACGTTAACGTCATCAGACATGATCGATTTGGGGGTGGTTCTGTTATGGTGTGGGGAGGCATCACTGTTGCTGGAAGAACGGCTTTACATGTTGTTGCAGGGCGTGTTACAGGCCAGTACTACCGGGACAACATCTTGGCAGTCCATGTTGTGCCGTTCTCACGACGTCATGGCCGCCGTTTCATCTTCCAGGATGACAACGCAAGATGTCACAGGGCCAGGATCGTTACAGGTTACCTCCAACAACAGAACATCACCACATTACCTTGGCCAGCACTGAGTCCCGACCTCTCCCCCATCGAGCATGTCTGGGACATGCTTGGACAGATGTTACGTCAACGTCAACAACGTCCTGCCAATGTCCAAGAACTTGCTGCTGCGTTGCAACAGGAATGGGACAATCTGGACCAAAATGACCTTAGACGTCTCATTAGGAGTATGCCACGTCGGATCAATGCTTGTTTGGCAAACAGAGGAGGATTTACCCGTTACTGACTTGGTTGTGATGCTGTGGTAACTTTGCTGTTTGACCCCGGGTATCATTTTACCCTTATAATGGTCAGTCTGTGCCTTACTTAGTCTAACGATCATTTGGAATAAATCGATGAATGTGAACTTCATTTCATTTTGTCATTTGTTTCTTCGTCAGTTTCATTAGGTGACTTTAATAACACTTAAAAATCAAATATCCCCTACTTTTTTTGAATAGTATATGTTGTGTCAAATCTCAGTTTCTCTGTTTTAGCCCGGGTAGAGTTGCTTATCCCAAGGCCCAGAGGACCCTGTCGCGGTCCATGCAAGCGAAGACAGATTTCAAGTCTGAAAGACTGAATTTGAATACGATTAATCTAAGACGTAGCTGCCATGGTCAAAAACGGGGCACTGTCTAAAAAGGGCATTGTCGAATTTGTGGCTCTTTTGATATCTCACCGTTAATTTCAGTATAACAATGAAAATACGAACAATTTAAATATTTCCTTATCCTGTGTATTGGGATATAAAATGTTACCCTTTCAAAAGTTATTAGCCTACCAAAAGTATTAAATTTCGGTTTAAACGTGCCATTAAAGCCCCCAATACCAGAATAAATGTTAAATGTTGACAATTGAGATATTCGTGGACGGTCTGGATTGCCAAATAATATTTGCTGAATAACCAAAGTATAATATTTCCTGGTCAATTCATTTATATTATAATTTATCTTTTGCTGTAATCAGAACAGTTGGACGTTAAACCCCGTTTCACTTCATTTCTTTTTCTGTAAAAATCGATCTATTTTGTATATGAGATCTAACCAGCATATTAAGTAATATGAGTATTTGTTTAATGTCAGATACCGATGTGCGTAAATGATTTATGAACCAACGTGGAGTTTAGCCCCCCATAAGTCATCCAGGGAATCGTCTGTTAAAGCCCATCTTCCAGAAGCAACGACTGCGAGTTTTAAGATGTACGTAGTTGAAGCGAGATCAAGCCTTCTATTGAAGATGGTTGAAGCCATGATCAACCATCAGTACTTTTTTCTTCTGCTTTGTAACAAAACACATTTGATGGTGTATGGCCTTAAAGCGCCAACGTAACAATCAAAAATTTATTCAACTCATTCAATTCTGGCTTAAGATACTATAATGGTGATAATATTTAATTGTGAATTGTTGGTATTTCCTTCTTTCAATATATCATTCGTTCATTATTCATTCTTTCATTTAAACATTTTTATTTTTCTTATGTTTCTATTAATCCTGCGTTGTTAATTAGACGTTAAGTTACTTATCTAATGACTGATCGATGACAGCAGACACATTAATGAGTTTAATTACTATCGTATTGTTTATTTTATTGCAATGTCTTGTATAGTTTAATCTCTCCTCTTTAATTTTTATTAGTAACCTTGGTGTATATTATTAATTATTTAGATACCATTTTATTATACCGATTTGTACATTGACAAAACATTCTAGGTTTCATCCCGTTTCCAGGACAGTTACTCTGCTTGTCGGACGTGCTGTTCTCCGTATATGATGTTAAATGTTTTCCGGTAATAAATAGTCTCAAGGATAGTTCCAGTCTTTAATTATTATCGAAGATTTACACTGTTACAATACATTGATTTGTAATGTGTTCATATCGTCACCTTTATTTGTCTTTGATAATAATAATAATTTTGCTATCTTCTTCGTACCTGCCCTGAAGGGTTTTTAAATATTTAATGTGCTTAATGACATAATAATAACAGTCTTTTCTTTAAAGGTGCATTATGTAAGAGCTAAATCTGCCTATTGCAGATCTTTTTTGGCCTTAATATATCAATTATTAATTAGACATTTATTCACATACCAAGCCCATAATCAACTCTCTTGTCCATCGGATGGTTGTGATTTTGAACGGATTGAAACACGGTCTCCATATTTTCTTCAAATATAAACTTAGTTCAGAATAAAGTAATTTGACTGATCTATCCAAAGTATTCCTTTTTCATTCTCTATTTGTAAACGATTATAGCGAGAACTGTCAGTTCTTTATCTAAATCTTAGATTATGCATCTTTAAAACAGTACATACTGCTTGCTTTTAAGCCACGTGTAAATGATCTGGCTTGTCGGGCCTTTAAACTCTGGCACGTTGGGACTTTAACATTATGATATCAATTCATTTGAAAGCAGTATACACATATTTGATATTTCTTTAGTTTGTGTTAGCCCTATGGATTATTTCTTTAGATTTGCATGAACCAATCCAAAATATTTTATTGAAATATATTGAATGCTAAACTGCTCAAAACGGGATATTGGCTGCACAGTGCACACGTATAGCGAATAGTATAACGATGCTAGGTCGATATGAAGCAAATGCGCAAAACATCGACTTACCTACCATTCATTACCACGAAACCCATCGCTATTTATATTACTATGAAGATAATCCCTTTCTAAACACTCGAACCACCTTCACATTCATTTGTATGATTCCTGCACAGGGCTATTTTTAGTTTTAGCTAGTTGAGATTAAATGATTATTTAAATTCGTATAAAGATAACCCCTTCAAAGCACTTGAACCAATTTCATTCATGTGTATGGTTCCTGCAAGAACCTATTTTTGGTTTTATCTGGTTACCATTAAATGGAAAGTTCACCGACACACAGAATGAGATCTTGGTGATATTGATTATAGTAAAATGTTTGTAAAGATCTCCATTTCTAAAGTGAGTATCTATGAGTCCCAGCCATGGGGAAAATGCCATCTTTCGTTTCCATCTCCAAGTGATTGTCTTCTGATATTCAACCACATATTAGCTTCCAAATGATTTACATTATCAACTTCCCATTTATACATTATAAAGTACTTTGAGATCACAGAAACAAAATCTAGATACATTTCGCACACAATTAAGAAAAAAGAAAAATCAATGATCACTAAGAGAAACTTTAACGCTCACTCGAAACAAACCAAGTCATTTCGGGACTAACATGGTACAATTTCATTTCAATATTTCGCATGCGCGTAGGGCTCTTCTGCAGTGGGAGGACAGACTGAAAACCCACGCGGTTGGGCAGGCAACCCTACTCCCAGTGGCGGCGCCAAGGGGGGGGGGGCAAGGGGGGCATCTGCCCCCCCCCCCCATAAATCTGGTCTGCCCTCTGTTTGCCCCCACCCAATAATTTTAGAAAATAAAAAAAAGTATTTGTGATACGTTTCGGTAATCAATACCTTCTACGGTGAATAAATCCCACATCCCCACTCAGTCATAAACTTGCATGTTGTAGAGCATTTCCGACAGTCTATTTTTCAAAATTTTCTTAGGGAGGTCCCCAATGGACTCGCTAGTTTGGCGCTCACAAGGGGAATTCGTTGAGGTTCGCAAGTCCGTTCGTTTGACATTTTGTTCTCTGGTCGGATAAACTAGTGATCAGGTAACGGACGGTATCTGGTAAGATCTATTTATCTCGACGATCGGTGCTTGACTTAATACTGACAGACAGCATTTCCGGCAGTCTATATTTCAAAATTTTCTTGGGATTTCCCCCATACCCTCTGTAAGGACTCCCTACTTTGACGCTCGTGAGTGGGCTTCGTCGAGATTCGCAAGTCCGTTCGTTTGACACTTAACCTCAATGATCAGTGCCAGGCTGCATTTCAGGCAACTTGTTTTTCAAAATTTTCTGGGGAGGCCCCCCTACCCGAACAGGTAGGGCTCTCATATTTTCGTTACTAAAGTAACTACCCCTACCCCTAGTTGAAGCTCGTGCCATTGCCCCCTGAACCTTGGACTTTGCCCCAGCTTTGCCCCTCCTATTGAGACGCACAAGCTTGGGATCGAGACAGACCACACCACTTGACTCGATGACAAATCTGATGATCTAAAACGCATGCGTTAGTCACCCCACCCCACCCATTATATAGGGTAAAAGAAAGTAACAAAACATAAAAAAAGAGCAGAAAGTATAATAGTCAAATTTGAACCAAACTGATTATGGGAGAGAGAGAGAGAGAGAGAGAGAGAGAGAGAGAGAGAGAGAGAGTTTAACGTCCACTCGACACAAACTAGGTGATTTCGGGACTAACATATGGTTCAATTTTATTTCAATAATTCGCTTGCGCGTAGGGGTCTTTAGCCGTGGGAGGAAACCGTGGACAGGCGCCCCTACTCCTTGTAACGTACAACCGGGGATTCGAAACCACGCTAGTTGACTCAATGACAAGACCTTATGATGCAGCGAGCACACACTAACCATTCGGCCATTCACCCCCCTCCCCCCAATTAAATGAGGAAGTTTTTATGGTGGTTTCGGTATGAGAAACAGCATGATTAAACACGATTAAATGAAATGGTACTATTTATTTTGTATTTGGTACAGCATTTGATGATGAAATTGACAGTTAATGATTGTTGCGTTATTATGGAAATCATCATGAAACGCATTCTAGATTATATACCATTTTATTCTAGACTGAACCTTTCCAGACCATCCTTTATTCTTCTGACAAATTCTTAAGTCAAAATCAAAACGATGTGCGGCAGTCACGAGTACAACGTCGGCCAGGTAACCCTAGTAAGTTTATAGCTTAGAATTAACTGTTGTACTGTTTGTAATATCTTGTAGTAAATCGACAACTGTTTGAGCACACCCCCAGTGTAATGTGATACCTGCTCCGCCATGACCATAGTTATGTATAACCTGTAAAATAAACACAAGGTTGCCAGGCTACTTATATAATGTTCACCACCGTGAAGGGAGGTGACGTTCGTCGCAGTACGTCGCAATGTAAGTCAAGGGATCAAAAATACCCCATTGACAAGGGGATTTCAATGATACAGACAAATACTCTGCGAAAAATTGATGTGTGGCTTGAACTTGCTATGGTGTATCAGTCTATTACAAAACTCTCACCTCTGCAAAGTTTACACGGTTTTGGTGATATGGTTTAAACTCTGAAACCACCAGTCAAATGATCAAAGCAAGTTTGGAAAAAATCCGAACTCTTAACTGTTACAGAGCGTTTACAAGATTTCGAGGGGTTACAAGATTTGTGGACGTACATAAGGACCGATGGATTGTAGCGGGCGTATTAAACAACAAAGATATCAAAACAAGCATTATCCTTGTAAAATCAATATCCTTATGCCTGATTTTCACGTACATGTATATGTTTTCGCCAGGGGGGATTTTTTTTGTATTTCTATGTAGGCCTATACTGAAAATCGCTGAAAATATTGGGAAATCCCACGTAATTGAAGTCATAAGTGAAGATTTTCCTCTACGGCGTGGCGGCCAACAGTGTTTTCATTCAATATCCTCCTTTGAAAAAACATTTACACACATCGTGTCATTTTTAAGCAGCGGTAGTATGACTTAATCCGGTTAAGGATGGGCATAGTAGAAGTGAGAAAAAAACGATGCGAAAATAGTCGCTCATCGACTTTACGTGGCAACGCTTACACGGAAACTAACTTATTAGGCGGACATTGAAAGCGGGCCTTATATCATGCAATCGTCTAATATTCACTCGCAACATAATATGCAGCTTTGGTATTCGAATATACATCACTGAATCTATCATTGTGGTTAAACCTTTGTTGGGGCGGCAATTCTTTTAACTACATTTATTCTTGTAATATATAGACTCTTTAGTGCACTACTTGCATACTAATTATAATTTAATTAACATCTACACTTTCTTTTAGGACTTGAAATAGTTCTTACTCGGCATTTGGTATGTTGTGAGGCAGGTTCCAACTCTAATCTAACACTCTTTCTACCTGGACGTAAACCAACCCAACTGTGATCTATAGTCGCCATCTGTGGTGACAAAAATATAAATATCATTCCATTATTTACACTTTAAATTTATATTAGGCTACTAGATAATATGACTAATGTGCTCAATAACCAAACAGGAGACCCGGGTTCGATCAAGAAAGGTCCGAGAAAGGAATAACGTCTAGTCGTTTAGATGGGACAAAAAACATAGTTCCCGTGTACACGGTGGTGTGCACATCAGATAACCCTTTGTTGCTGCCGGGCTACGAATGCATGGCGAATGCCTGTCCTTATCAATCCTTTAAAATATACCTATACATTGAGAAAACTTACTTTTAAACTGGGTAGAATTTGACAACATCTCTCGAACAAAGCTAACCTGTCTTCCCGGCGAGAGTATTTATTCCAGTTACCTTTCTGGTATGTTCCTCCCAATGCAACATTTTTGGATCTGTCATAGAAATAAAGATTAACGACCACCCACCAAACATTTTAAAATGCATACTCTTATAATACGCAAGGTATTCAGAAAAACCCAATGTTGGCCTAGAAAGATTTTCTGCCGTGGTTTCCCCTTGTCAGATATGCAGGACGAAGGGTGTGGCATGAAACATCGCCTAGTCGTTCGGATGGGACGACAAACCGAGGTCCCGTGTACACGATAGCGTGTACGTAAAATAAAACGTGATTGTCGACATATAACTTTTGTGCCGCTGCCCAGGCAAAGGTTTCCTCATAGTACACTGTACTGTGAATCCCCTTTACATACACCCTGATGGAGTAGAAAAATCATTAAAAATTTTTTATCAAATCCATTCAGCAATACGTATCCTCTAAGAGCCCAAGTGGAGTTATTCCCCCTGCACAGATGTTTAAATTATTTATTACCCTGGTAAAATATAAGTAACCTCGTCACCAATCTCTTGAGAATAAAAATGTTTAATCCATGGTGCATGAACCTGAAATGTAAATAGCATTTAATAGTTTAACGTTCACTCATTGACGCTCCAACAATTCAAATTAAATGTTATAGAGATTACAGCCGTTACAGAATTAAGAAATACATGTACTTTTGAGATAAAACATTTTCTTAGAAAAAACATTGAAATCGAATAATTCTAACTTGAAGTAGGACTATTATGTTGATAACCTTTGACTGCACATCGAAATGTTTATTCTCTTAGATTAAAAATATATGTATAATTTACAATCTTTTTCCTCGTGGAATTTATTTTTACTTAGATGTGGTCAAATCACATAATAACAACTGTCTTTACCTTGACAAAATAGTAGTCTTTGACCGTTGAAATAAATATTTAACAAAGAAAACTCAAAGAAACAGTACGTTAAGTTGCAACTTTATCAGTACATAATTTCTTATCTTACAAACCGGGGATCACGTGGCTAGGTGGGTAGAACGCTGGCTCGCTAGCCTGGAGGTCGGGTGTTCGATCCCTTCATTGGCCGAAGGACGGAGGGCCTGTCAAGGACAGCTGTCTGGTCCTTCGGATGAGATGAAAAACCGAGGTCCCGTGTGTGTATACATTGGAATACACGTAAAAGATCCCTTGGCAGTTGGAATTCGATGTAAGAGTAGGCGATAGTGCCGCTGCCCGGGCAAAATTTCCCCCATAGCACACTGTATGGCGTATGCTCGTCTTCATTAGCCCAGTTCGGAGCAGAACAGTAGGACGTTAAACCCCATTTCATTTCATTTCATTTTCTTACAAACCCGAATAGTTTCCCCTCGGATAGGAAACACATCTTTATCATCCAGTAACTGATATGAACGTAGTCCAGAACAATCGATGATTATGTCATACAACGGATATAGCTGAAATATGAGACAGAAATTAAATAAAAGTTATACGAAACATTGTAGAATTTATTTTAATAAAATGCTATTTTGGAACCGGCATCCCACATCTTGATTCTGTAGCTTATAAGACAAACTCTTTACACTCAAAATTATGGATGGGACATTCGGGGAATTTGTATGGCGGACGGGTGACGACAGGCTGCAAAAGAAAGTATACACCCAAATGTCGTTACTATGTCTTGAATTTTAATCAAGTGAGCGACCTGCTTGTTGTGACTACTTTTGTGAAATTACTGACCGCTCTATTGTTGCTGTCCTAAATCTAAATCCTTTTTCAAGTCAAGTCGAAATTTTTAATCTATTAAATGTGCATTTTAAAAGGGCTAAATTGACTTGTTTCTGGCTTCAAATCTTACAATTTTTTTTTTATTTAAACATTTATTAGCATGGCAAGACCATAGTCAACCCTCTGGGATTTTAAGTAGATTAGAACACCTTACCCAATTAAGAGTTTAACGATAAAATAGATAATCGAGACTTAATAAGCAATCTACGTTACATTTTGTCAAAACACCGAACATTCATAACTTCGCACAGAATAAAGTAATTTGGCTGAACTTTTTAATATATTCATTTTTCTATATCTATTTTGGACCATTATAGCAAGAATGTTCAGCTCTTTTTCTAATTCTTACATAACGCATCTTTAAGAATAATTATGTCAATATATTAAGACTAACCTCGTCTAAAGATTGAATAGTTCTATTTATAATCTTCCCACCTCTATCCATGTATCTAAAGAAAGGAAAGCAACATTTTATAAAATGAAGGAAAATAATAAAATGGTGTTTAACGTCCTACTGTTCTGCGCTGACTGGCCTAATGAAGACCTGCATAAGCCATACAGTGTACTTCGAGGGAATTTTGCCCGAGCAGCGGCACTATGGCTTACTCTTATATGGAATTCCAAATGCCAAGGGATCTTTTACGCGCAAGCTAATGTATACACGGGCCTTGGTTTTTCGTCCCATCCGAACGACAGCTGTCCTTGTCATGCCTTCCTTCCTGCACCACTAATGAACTTTTTCGGCCAATGCAGGAATCGAATACGCGACCTCCAGGATAGCGAGCCAGCAGCGTCTTACCCACTTAGCCACTGTGGCTCCTCTAAAGTGAAGTAAAGAATATGGCGCCAACAAAATACTGCCAGACATTATGTTGATAACATTAAAACATTGGAGAACATAATTGCACGTATTTGCTAAATATACCAGTATACAAAAATAATTATACACAAACATAAATACTACTTACCTTTTCATTAACCATGGTAGATAAGAAGTACAATCTACTAAATATGATGTGAAAAATTGTCCCCATCTACAAGATAAAATAAATCAAAATCAAAATTCATATTTAACACATTGGTTTTGAGATGAACAATACAATGTGTCTTGATTATCAAAAATGTTTATTTACTTGGTTATTATATATTATTGGAAACGGCTTTGGCTTTAAATTTCATATTAGACATTAAGGAACCGCAGTGGCTCAGTGGGACAGACGGTAGCCTTTGATTCGATCCCGGTGTTGGAATTCGAAATAAGAGTAGGCCGTATCCTAGTAGGTGCAAAAAAGTGGGACAGAAAGTGAAAATCTCTAATAGCGCCATTCACAAAAAGAAATATTTCACATTCTGATTGAGGATTGCATATCATTGCGATATTGCTAAACCGACTCCTTGTGTTAATTCGACGAGCTAACTTTGGTTAGAAAGCTATGCATCTACCTGGCCTTAGGAAATAATTTCATCTCTTCTTTTGTTAAAACTCTACTGGAAACATCTCCATGTATATTTACTTGCTGGAAAATAAACTCAAAATAAAGCACTATAATTATTGTCCCGTCTCCGTTGCAGTCACCATCTATACATTTGTAGAATTTGGAATGTAACTTTAGACATTTACGCTATTAATCAGAAGAAGGTGAAAATTTAGATTTAGAAATTGAAAAGATGTCAATCGTCTTTATCAGCCGCTACTATTACAGAGAAGGGTTTACACGATTGCATTCTAAATGGCCATGCAAGATACGCAAACATTTTGCAATAGATGGACGGAGAACAGGGAAAATCAATAGAGCCCATCCCCTCTTTGTCCCAATATTTAACACCAAATTAGAAAAAAAATTCTATTAAAACTGTAGACTCTATCTCATTCGAATGGTTTTCGGCAAAAGGGTGCTAACTTCGGAATGGAAAGTCAAGGATCGTTGAATATAAATAGGGTTCAGTCTCTCATGGCCCCGATGCTACACACCAAATTAAAACTGATACCACTGTCACGTTTGGAAGGTTTTCGGTAATTCTATCTTCAGACTAGATGATTGCAGAATGCACCTATCGCATTCACAAAGTTTTCGGCTAAGGGGGCATAACTCTGAGACGACATGTCATGGAACGGTTCGTCCTCTTAAGACCCCATTGCTTCAAACCAAATCTGAAAAAAATATGTTGATAAATATAGACTTTATTGCCTTCACAACGTTTTCGGAAAAGGCGCATAGCTTTGGAAAGGAATGTCCGATGCACACCACATTGAAACTCATTCAAGATCTTTTAATCCTTAACATATCTTTTAAGTGTCATCTACATTTCGATAAAAATTATGGTCTTCACACTTTGCAGGCTCTAACTCCAAGATCATTTAATCCTTAATTAATTTTCATCTGAATCGGACAAATATAGGGGGCCCACAAGCTAAAAAGGCCATTAATCGTACAGGGGCAATAATCCAGGAAACGTCCAAAATCGAGCTCGTCCGAGATCGTTGGGATATAAACGTGATTTTTCGTACAGTCAGGGGCAATAATCCATGAAACTGCCAAAATCGAGCTCGTCCGAGATCGTTGGGATATAAACATATCTGTTAAATGTCGGATAAAAATTGTGACGTTTAAATTGTCCAGAATCAAAATGTGAACGGACGGACAGGGACGACAACATAATACGTGTACATGAAAATGTAGGCGTATAAAATCACCGAATACTCATCTAGACAGTCAGTGGCCCAATATCCCGATACTTGTTGAACTCGAGCACTACCAGCTTCAACGGAGAAAGTCATATCTTTCAAATGATCCCAGGTTTCGTTGGCCCATTTTCTGAAAGTATAGAATTTAAAGGACTATATGAATGAGATTTTTTTTGAAGTTGTAACGAAAACGTTGTGCCACGATCCAATCGACCAATGTTATATAATATCAGAGAGACCACTCGTGCTAACCAACTTAAGAAGTTTGAAAATCTTAAAACCACCACTGTCCCTAGCTCTACCATTAAAAACAAAGATGATTACCTCATTAAAACAGTTATCAACCTCAGTAGCCGTATCCTGACCGATGACCAAATCACACTGTTATCCCGAGGTTTGAAGTTCACGCCAACCAACCGCTCAGCTAACCAAGACCTGCTCATCGCCAACATTGAGAGAGGCATGAGACAATTAGCACCCGGTGGCAAGATTGGTTTCCTTCGACATCAAATAGTTGATCTAATTTCTAAATCCAAAACGCAGCGACAAACCGACAATCTTACCAAGTCCCAAAAGATTACCCTGCAAGAACCGAAGAAAGACCAAACTATCAGCATTGTAGCCGCCGACAAAGGTAAATCCACTGTAATAATGGACAAAAGAGACTATCTGGACACTGTGTCCCACCTACTCTCAGATCGCACCACTTACAGAAAGATTAGGAAGGACCCTACCAATAGCTATAATGACAACCATACCGCCCAGTTAATGAAACTTAAAGAGCGTAAGCGAATTACAACTTCCCTATTTTATAAACTTAAGCCGTCCCATCCTAGGTCGCCGTATGCAAGAGCTACAATTAAAACACATAAGAACCCCATTAAAGCCAGACTTTTAGTATGCTCCAGAGATTCTGCATATTACAACACTGCCCAGCACTTGTCAAAACGCCTCTCTCCATTAGGAAAAGAAGCCTCCTCATTTATCAAAGATTCCAAAGATTTCTGTGAAAAACTACAAGACCTACCTAATAATGTGCAAATGTTATCATATGATGTCATAGATCTCTTCACCAATATCCCTCGTGACGAATCCCTAGCAGCACTACGGCACAGACTTGAGTCCTTGGAGAGTCCAATTGATACCAACCTTAGTACTGAAGATATAATCATGCTTACCAAATCTTGCATAGATTCTACCTACTTTTCCTGGGGAGGAGACTACTACGAACAGATACACGGACTACCGATGGGAAGCCCCTTGTGACCTATTCTTAGTGAGATCTACATGACAAGTTTTGAGAAGAGTGCCCTATCCACCTCAGCAGTCCAACCCACAACATGGCTTCGTAGGGTTGACGATACGTTCGTCATCCTCCAACAGAACGAAGATCCTAACTTCCTCCTTCATCACCTCAATAGCCAAAACAACAGAATTAAATTTACCATAGAAAAAGAAAAGAACCAGTGTCTCCCATTTTTAGATGTCCTAGTTACGAAATCTGATCATAAACTCACCACCAGCGTGTATGGAAAACCCACCCACACTGACCAAAACATCAACTTTAAATCTAACCATCCTCACAGTGTAAAGACAGCTACCATAGCCGCACTAGCGCGCCGTGCCATCAACAACCGCAGCAAAGATTCCCTCAAAACAGAACTTGACCACATTGAAGAAGTCCTCACCAAATACAACAGCTATCCAAACCAATTAGTGCAGAAAATCATCAAGACTACCACTAACAGTGCCACAGAAACCACTAAACCAAAACCTGACAAACTACCAGTAAGAATCACCATACCATTTCAAGGGAAGGTATCTTATCACCTTAGGAGACTCCTCAGCCCAACAGGGATCCAAGTCACATTTTCTAAAGGACGAACCCTACAAGACATCCTAAAGGCAAATGGCAAGCTTTCTCCGAATAAACCACCTCCTCTAAAAGACTGTGTTTATGAAATTGCCTGTTCGTGTAATAGTAAATACATAGGAGAAACTAGACAGTCCCTGGACAAACGAATCAGTCAACATAAGTCAAAATCCTCTACTACTAACTCAGCTGTGGCCCAACATCTCCAATCTAACCAAGGACATAGAATAGAGTCATACAAAACCCTGGCAGTTAATCTCCCCATAGAAAAGACACGCAAACTAATTGAGGCGATTCATATCAGAAGAAGCACACCAGATCTTAACCGCGACATTGGGATATTTTTGTCGAGCGCGTACGATCAAATTATCAAATAATCAAATCATATATATGCATTACTTTATTCCTAATTACTACACACATGTAATATTACTTTGTCATTTTTTATTTTGTTTACTCTCCACTAGTTTTTAGTCCTTTTAATTAATATGATCTACAGTCCAATCAGATGCCTGTACCAGCTAAAACCTTTGGAATCACTCTGTTATCAACACTGCAATTATTATCTGGCTTTATCAATACATTAGCTCCTATCCTTAATCAGTTGTGCCTATTTTGTTTTGTTGTTTTGGGGGGTTTTTTGGTGTTTTTTTTATGTTTTTTTTATGTTTTTTCAAAGTGGTGTACAAATTATTGTGTAAACACCGAAAACCCCTATCACCAACACTTAGATTATGTACACATCACCACTACTCAGTGGCTTTTACAAGTTAATTAGTCCCTTTTATCTTGTTATTGTATATCATAACCCCACTGTGTCATAGGCCTTTGATCTTATTGTTGTCATGTATGGTTTCAACCTTGTTATTGTAATTTTGTCTATATATCTTGCCTCAAATTTTGTTATATTGTATTAGCTTGAAAACGTTGAGAGAATACTCTTCGAAACGTCGCCTAAATAAATCAGTAGCTGTTTCCATAAGTATGTTTATAGTTTATTTATCTGCCCAGTTACTAAATGCCACTTAAAGAATATTATATAATATTATGGAACTGTCATGACTAAACGGACAATGACTAACTAGTTGCTGTTGATACGGCGTAAACACTATCAATTGAAGCGAAGCAACAACAGGGTTTTAACGTTTTAATTGTCTGCACTAACCGGGCTATGAGGGATCGCGACGTGCCCGCCTATAATCTTCATCGAATTCCAACTGTCAAAGCTTCTGAACGGTTACATACGTGGACCTCGTTTTGTTTTGGTCTAATCCGAGTTGCTAGACGTTTTTCCTTGTAAGACCATGCACCACTGACAAGGGGACACCAGACTGCAATGTCCGGTTGAACTTTCTCGACCAACACCAGAATCAACCCAGGAACCTCGTTATTAGTGATCCAACTTCATACTCACTCCGCCACCCTGACTCCCATTACTAATTTCTACTTTTTCTTCATGAAATGGGGTTTAACGTCCCACTGTTCTGCTCTGACTGGGATAATGAAGGCGGCCATACATCATACAGTGTGCTTTGAGGATTATACCCGCACAGTAGCGCTACGTACTACTTTTATATCGAATTCCAAATGCCAAGGGATCTTTTAGGTGTACACCGGATCTCGTTTTTTGTACCATCCGACCGACTTAAAGTTTTCCCATAACGGGCCCTCTGTCCTGCACCACTGACAACGGGGAACCACGCCGGAAAATTCCGATGAACTGTCTTCGCCAATAACGGGATCGAACACGAGACCTCCAGGTTAGCGAGTCATAGCAACTCCAAGAGTAGACACTATCAATAGAGGTAACTAGCATACAAAGAGAGGTCAGTTTTCATAAATTTAAAAGAAAACCCTATAAATAGAGGTAACTAGCATACAGAGAGAAGAGAGAAAGAAATGGGGTTTAACGTCCACTCGACACAAACTAGGTCATTTCGGGACTAACATATGGTTTAATTTTATTTAAATAATTCGCTGGTGCGTAGGGGTCTTTAGCAGTGGGAGGAAACCGGGGGACCCGGAGAAAACCAACAAGGTTGGACAGGCGACCCTACTCCTTGTCACGTACAACCGGGGATTCGAAACCACGCCAGTTGACTCAATGACAGGCCGTATGATACAGCACGCACGTGCTAACCATTCGGCCATCCAACCCCTCAACTAGTATACAAAGAGCAGGTCAGTTTTCATAAATTTGAAAGAAAACCAATAAATATAAATCCAAGAAAACTACATGTACACTAAGCATGAGACGTGAGCTGCAAATTCATCATTATACACACACTATATACTTCGTGACCTAATAAGACAACTTATACTTATCTGGCCTTTTTAATTTATTTTAAATAGACATGCCTACTTCAGCATATTGACGTGTTATGATTCACCGAATTTTCTATTTTAAACAAACTGATCCAAGGTCGTTTCTATTAAAGGGCCGCGGGTCGATATATGTCCTACAGCAGTAAATCGGGATATGGCTGTCACTAGATAAGGGACACGAGAAAAAGTAGCAAAATCCCGTGCATTCCCCCGTTTTTATTCATTCTGTTCTTAATAAAAACGTGGTAATGCACGGACTTTTTCTAATTTTTTCGTTATCTTTTATCTACTGACAGCCAATTCTTTTTTTGAATTGTCAGATATCCTCTCATCGTCTCATATAACAACTTTTCATCTTCAACGGAATTATCAGTGAAATGAAATTCGACCGTTTGTCTGTTACCGCTCGTTACTTCAGTCAGTTATATAGAAGGACAACTCATGTTTGTCATGTTTGACGTCACTTTCCGTTTCTTCACGTGCTTGTTACACAACTCCCGTAGCAATGATCTCTGTGTTAAAATTATATTTTATAATGACTGACACCAATATTGTCCTTTAACTACCTTGGTTTTTTTGGGGTTTGTTTTTTTTTTTTGGGGGGGGGGGGGTGTTTTTTTTTCTTCATTAATTTTTGATATAATTACTGCTCTTGTCGTATGTGCATTATTATCATAGAGGTTTTCTCGTGAATTAAATTACCGGTAATCATAATTTAGAAAAGAATCAAACTGACTAGTCGTTTTCCGCAAATATTACAGCGTTCAAGGAAAATAACTCTTGTTTATGGAAAGAATACTTTCGGAAATATACACGCTAGCGCATCATAATATTATCCAGTACAGTTCTACTATGCCATGCCATTCTCGAGGTCTTATACTCAAACCTTAACCTCATAAACCAAAATTTTACTTACTCCAGCAAATCTACAGGCGTATTACCTACAGCAAACACTTCAAAAATAGCACCAGCGCCGTCCGACGTGGTATTCGGTGAAAACTTATCAGCAATAATTGTGATGGCAGCACTTGGGTATCTATCTTGAATTCTGACAGCGGAAGACATTCCAATAACTCCAGCTCCAATAACACAAATCTTCATCTTGACTTGATATTCATAGACATGAAAGTACACGCTGAAGTTTATCGCTGACTCAGTGTTGATATAGTGTACTAAGTTCAAGGTCGCAAGGAGGAAAGTTTTTGAGCTCCTTAAAGCGGACAAACCATAACGGCTATATAGAAATGTAAATCCCAATAATTTATTGGGAATATTAGGTTATATTCTTTTTAGAGAAATGCTAATTGTAGGCCGGCTGGGGAGGTTCGGTTATTTCCGGTGTCTACAATGGCTGCTTTGCGCTTTATATAAATGAGTATGTTGGGGAATACTAACCCTAACCCTAACCCTTTGAAGCGGGGTAAAGGGTAAACTGGATTCAAGTTCAGTTAGGGTTAGGGTTAAGATTAGTATTCCCAAACAAACTTATTTATATAAAGCGGCCATTTTGGACTCCAGAGATTCCCAAACCTCCCCAACCGGCATACAATATTAGCATCCCCCTATATTTTTGACGATGTCTTCGGCTTTAACGGACACTGTCGTCACTGCTAGTAACGTGACTAGTAACGTGACGCTTTGACGTCATTAAGTGCTGCAACTCGAAGTACAAGTCCGTACACGCCATATTTCAATACGAAACTAAATTAAATTTAGTTACCACTACCAGTCACCAATTCGGAACAATGGAAAGTTTCACGTGATGACAGTCCGGGAAAACAAGCATCCGGTATTATTTAAACATAATGGAACTTATAGGATCAACCAAGGCTTATATCCAGTCTGAAAATATTGGTTGCCTGGAGACAATCAACCAATACAATTCTATCATTTAATTTTTAAAATGAATCAATTAAATTTTCAAAAAATATATATGTAAGTGGAAATAAAAAGATTTTCATGCTAATAATTTTTTTTTCCTAATATTTATTATATTTATTGATAATTTGTATTTTAAATATATTGTCAAATGTCTAAGGCGACCTACTTCCTCAGGGGCCCACTTGTCATTGGGCAAGCTGACAACCTGACCAGTCCGCCACTGCCTTTATCTCCTTTGTACTTATAGTACAACTTCTCATTTCGGAAATTTATGACGGATGACTCCCACAATAATTTCTAATTTGTCAAAAACGAGAATGAGCCAAAATACAAAATTATTCGTTTTCTACGTTGACTTAAAATCTGATTCTTTTATTTCCCCAAGAATGAAATCGTACGTGTTTGTTCCAGCCAAAGAATAGACCATATTTTTATGTCTACCATAAGGATTGATGCGATTCAAAAGAGACGCCCACAACATTTCCCTTACAACTAGATACTCTGGCAAAAGTACAAGGAATACACATACATACCAAATACTCATTCAGAGGAGAAAAACAGATTTAACCCGTAGGTGATTCAAATTTACAAATGTAATCATATTAGCACTATCTCCTAATTAGCACTTAGTATCTCCTAATTAGCACTTATTGAGAATTTGTTAATTATTTGTTTGGTTCTAATACACTTCCGTGAATGATAACCGCTAGTGTCAATAAGTTTATAGTTTAGAATTAATTGATGTGTTGTTCATAAGATCTTGCAGTAAATCAACAACTGTTTGAGCACATCCCCAGTGTAATGCAATACCTGCTCCCCCATGACCATAATTATGTATAACCTGTGAATAAAAAAGTGATAGAATTAAATAGTCCGAATTATTTCAGTATACAACAGAAAATACATTCAGAAACATCAGTTGCTGTCTTGGGTACCTTTCCTACTCATTAATGGATTCGGGGATTTGGAATCATACGCTTGCCCCCGAAACAATAATCTGGGTGATTTGACGATATATTTGAAAAAAAAACAACATATTCCCAAATTTGTTTTAAATCCCTCTTATTTTTCGCTGCAAGAAAACTACCTCATGCCGCAAGAATCTATTTTAAGCCCCTGTATTTGTCACGTGACTTCCAACATTTGTCGCTGTCAATTCACCACAAATTTCGTTGCCTAAGTAAGTTCTTGGATTAACCTCTGCCAACGTCTTTTTCAATTGTTTAATTGCAGAGTCTACTGGGGAATCAACTTTCCATATACCAAATATGCCATACTATGATTGGAAATAATGGCCCTGGAAATTATGGCCCTGTAAATAATTTTGTATCTTTAAAATAAATGGTTACAGAATCTTATTTCATGTTAAACGTATGTTAGTGTCATTGCCTACATCCATGTAGAACAAATAGTAGAATTAATATAAACAATATTATAAATATAGTTCTTCGTACCCGACATTTAGTGTGTGCTGAGCGGGGTTCCATCTCCAATCTTACACGACTTCTACATGGACGTAAACCAACCCAATTGTAATCTACAGTAGCCATCTTTGATATAAAAATAAAATAAAACTGTCATAAATTTATCATTGACATCTATGTTTGGACAGTGGTTTTTCTGTTCGGGGTTGGTGGCTACACTAGGGTTGTTCCGTGGCTGAAATTTGGGATATAAGTGCAGCTCGAGTCGTGGAATTTAATAAACACACGTTTTATAAATTTTATAAATTTACCATCAGACATGCTTATAGTATTATACTTTAAATATATCAGAATTGTGTATAAACCTTCCATTGTCAACAATTAATAATTTTGTAATGGATCGCACCTTTTAAAATATAATTGTACATATCATTTTCTAGTTGATTCCAACTTGTAACGTTTGGTCTTTGACCTATATTACTGCAATAAACTTATTCTTATTCTTAGGGCGTGAGGGGGCTCAACACGTGCAGCGCCGAGTAAACAGATCTAACGACTTTCAATTTAAAGCACCCCTTTTACTAATAAGGATATTACAGCCCTCACCCCTCCAACGCCTCTTAACTTTTAAATAAGGCTCTGGTCGTCATTTGAAAGATTATTAACCCCCTGTAAACAAAAAATGTGATATTTGAATCTCTAAATGGTGTATTAGCCAAACACTTATTCAGTTCCATTCGGTATTAACAAAACTATAACTTTCCACAACCTCTGCACAGACTTATAAACTTTCGACAAACTCTGCAGACTTGATAAACAGGGTATAATGAAAATCAGCCAGACCGTCTATAATCTATGTTAAAATATTTTGATTGGTCCAGTTTTATTTCAAGCCGAGGGATCATTTACCGCTGATACTTTAAATTTATTTTCTTTATTAATTATTAAAAAATCAGTTCGAGTACTGTGAATTACGCCGTGGCGTATTCGATAATGTCCGAAAATGCAAATGGCGATCATTCATATATATATATACATGTACCTACTTTTAAACTAGGAAGTATTTGACAGCATCTCTCAAACAAAGCTGACCTGTCTTTTTGATTACATTCTTTGTCCCAGTTACCTTTCTGACATGTTCCTCCTAATACAACATTTTTAGATCTGAATGAGAAAACAGAATTTATATCATACCTTAATAGGCTTTTCATATATAATACACCATTTACAGATAGAGAATTATTATAAATGATAACGATTAAACAGTAGTACATGTAGTTGTAAAGCATGTCGTATCATTATGCATAATTTTACTAAAAACAGGATTGAAATATGGACAATAAAATTAAATGTTAAAATTGCTGTCCCAAGGTTTCGTAATCAAAGGGGTTAACACTGAACAACCTGTTATAAAAATTTGAAAAATCCATTGATTATGTTTTGGTCATTTACAATATTAACAAACAATAATTAATGTTTAACGTCCTACTGTTCTGCTCTGGCTGGGCTAATGAAGACGGAAATAATTCAGGTATAAAATAATATTTGTATATTACCCTGGAAGGATGTAAGTAATCTCTTCACCAATCTCCTGAATATAGAGCTGTTTAATCCAAGGGGCAATAACCTAAATTTCAAGAAAAATAACCATGTACTCATGTTCAATTCACATCTAGTGAAAGACAATCTGATTAAAACACAGATCCTATTTCGTTTCGTTCTTATAGTTCAAAATTTCGTTTTACGTAGGCCATCGAAAGTATAAAAAACGAAACGAAATATAGATGATCTGTATTTTAATTAGATCAAGTGTAAGATGGAAGAATGAAAGAATACTGGCGCTTTTACAAAGTAAGGACTGTCAAACAAAGGCCTGAGAAGTGCCCCAAGCTTCCTTATATCGGAAATCACTTGGAAAACTCCCAGACATACGTGATCAACAGCAGTGGTATAATAACAACTGATTTTTACGGTCTTGAACGTCCCAGTGTATAAAATGCTTTAGTGGATACAACGATACTACCCAAAGCATTCCAAAGCTAAAAATACAAAATGTTACAACTAGGTTAAAATAGATGCTACAAACCCTTATAGTCTCTCCCCTAGCAGGAAACAACTCTTTATCACCCAATAACTGATGTGAGTGTAGTCCAGAACAATTGATGATAATCTCATATAATGGATACAACTATAATATATGAAGGAAAAGATGGAAATCTAGATTGTTAATTCGATAAAACAATGAAATCTAGATTGTTAATTCGGTAAAACAATGAATCTTGGTATGGGAAGAGATGTCTTCCAGATTCTCTTCGTCATTAGTATTTCGGTACATTGATCGGGAATAAAACAAAAACCCAACAACAACACTCAAATGAAAACATCGCCGTCTATACCATCGAAACGTAGAATCGGTGGACTATGGAATAATAAATGTTTCCATAAGGCTTTCATTCCTAATTAACCAAATGGAGTTACAACTAAAACTTGACCAAACTAACCTCGTCTAAAGACTGGATAGTCTTATTTATTATCTTCCCACCCTTGTTAATATACCTGAGGAAATATAAAAATATATGTATAAAATAAACACATTTTTACATACCCCTCTATGTCACATTAATTCGTTACATTACATACAGGGTTCAAGACAACTGATTCGACCGTGTAATTCACCAATCTTGCCGCATAAAAGTATTTATCGTAAAGAGTGATAATAAAAGTGTATAATGAAATTAACGGCATCATTACGCCACAACGCGCGATGAACCAGAAAGTAGCAGAATATTGCAGAAAAACTAATTGTGAGACAAACGCGGTTATCTAAACTGCTACA